CAGTGTCACTGGCCCTCATATGTGGGATCCGAACCGGGGCCCTCTGGCATCCCAAGCGAGTTCTTAACCATCGCGCCACTCGGCCGGCCCTAGAGGCGACTTCTAAGAGGGCTGACGCTGGCCGGTGTGTGCTGACACTCCTAGGAGCTGGGGGAAGGTCCGTCCTTCCTGAGGGGGACCTGGGCGCTGCATCACAGCATCCAGTCCAGCGGGTTCTTACACTTTTTATAACTAGAACCATGACTCTCGTGGCGGGCTACTTTCAGTTAACATTAGGTTTGTGAAACTCGCCCTTACTGTTGTATGTTAGTCGTAGGTAGGTCATTCTCAGTACTGTGCAGTGTCCCATGTGCGATGGCACCCAATACTGTGGATAAGCTTTTGGGCAGCTTTCAGTATTTTGCTGTTAAGAATCGTGCTGGTATGAAGGTTTTTGTGCATGCCTTTTCATGGAGATGTCTGTTGGTACATACCTTTGCTGGGTCATGGGCGTGCCTTTGTCCAGCCTTAGTAGATGCTGTCAGTCAGGTGTCCAGTGGGTGGTACTGTTTGACACTCCCGTCTGTAGTGTATTTCCTCACCTACTCTCAATTATTTTTCTCATTTTAGCCATTTTGATCTTTCAGCCCAGACTGTGTAGCCAAGCACTTTGTAATACTTTTATTATTTCTTAACCAACCTCAAAAATGTTTTCATTGAACTAGTTTCACTAAAGAGGAAATGGAGAAGTAGTAAATGAGTTGTACTTGTATATAGTGATTGAGAAATAGAATAGAAAAATAGTCCTTTTTTATTGTGCTCTTACTGTATTTGCCAGGCAATATTTGAAGTGCTTTACAGGAATTAGCTAACTTATCCTTAGAACAACACTAAGAGGGTAGGTACTATTACTGTTCTCAATTACAGATGAGGAAACTGAGGCACAGAAGTGAAAAACTTGTTTAAGATCACATAGTCTATAGGTAGTCTGGCTCTGGAGCCATGTACTTAACTTCCACAGAATTCTTTTTTAATCTTATTATATAATATTAAAATATCTTTTAAAATATGTGGTTATGTATTTTTTGAGAATACATTATGAAAATATCCTGTAGGAGTTCCAAAATAGTGAGTTAGCATGGTCCCAGCTGACATTCATTAGAAGTGGAATCTCTAGTACAGCGGCCTTTATTTATTTTTGATTATCATAGCCTAGAATGGTGGGTTATGAGATTCTTTGTATAATCTGTACAGTCACACCTCAGAGATATTGTGGGTTCGGTTCCAGACCACCTCAATTTAATATCACAGTAAAGCGAGTCACATGAATTTTT